CCTTCGCTACTACTTTTGGGATGACATCATGGAGGGAATCAGAGATGCATGGTATCTTTCGGCGGTGTGTGATGAAAGCAGAGATGCATGGTATCCTTTCGCATTATCACGAGGGTTAGACCGACGGACATCATGGAGGGAATCACACTACTTTGAAAGTGATTTAGTCTGGAATCTATTGGCCTACTCTATCCAAGGATGTTGAGGATTTTGTCTAAAGGTGTGATCGTTTACAATGCTCAGGTAATATTTCTGCTCAAGATGAGATTCCCAAAACTATATTTGTAGTGTGTGAGATCTTTGATGTTTGGGGCATTAACATCATAGGCCCCTTTCCTACTTCATTTGGAAACAAGTACATACTAGTAGTTGTTTATTACATCTTGAGGTGGGAAAAAGCACAATCCTTGCTCACCAATGATGCTAGACGTGTGTGCATTTTCCTTAAGCAACTTTTCTCTCGATTTGGGACTCCACAAGCCATCATTAGTGATAGAGGCACTTATTTTCAGGGGCAATTTGAGAAACTCCTATCTCGCTGTGGTGTGACACAAGATTTCCATGGCATACCATCTTCAAATGAGTGGCTAAATTGAGTTGACAAGCCGAAATCTAAAGATAATATTGGAAAAGATGGTGGATCGATCCCGTAAAGATTGGTCCACCAAACTCGATGATGCTCTATGGGCTTATTGCACGGCCTACAAAAAGCCTATTGGTACACCACCGTATAGGATTGTCTATGGCAAGGAGCCCATTTGCTGGTAGAGCTAAAGCACAAAGCCTTTTGGGCCATTAAACTGCTTAATCTTGATGTTAATGTGCGTGGAGATGAAAGAAAGTTGCAGGTGTCACAAATTTATGAATGGTGCCACCGTGCCTATGAAAACACACGGCTTTACAAGAAGAAGACAAAAAACCGCCACGATGCAAGATTGAAGGAGTCCAAGGAATTCAAGATAGACAACCTAGTTCTCCTTTATAACTCTTGCGCGCCTACGCTTATTCCCTGGGAAGCTTCATTCTCGGTGGTCTGGTACGTACACGGTTACCTAAATCTTCTCCTACGAGGTAGTGTTAATCTCCAATCTGGAGAAAGGGACCTTCAAGGTCAACGGTCACTAGCTCAAGCTTTACCACGGTGGGGATGTGGATCCGGAGGAAGAGGCAATGATCCTCGAGGAGCCATAGTCTATACAAGGCATTTAGCTAAATACGTAAAAAAAGTGCTTATTACAAGTAGGGGTGATATTCGGTTTGCCGGTTAACGGTATAACTGGTTACCAAACCAGTAATCGGCAATACCAATTATCGGTAGGCATCACAGACCAAAAGGTATACCGAATAACTGATACAGACCCCACATTCCTCCTTTATTCCCTCTGCATACCCCCTTTCCCCTTTCCTTCAAAATCCCCCCTCTGAAACTCCTCTTGAGTCTCGACTGAATCCAATCTTACCCATGTCCATTCCCCTTTCCTTCAAACCCTGAACCTTTAGCTCCCTCTTCGTTTCACCCTTAGTTCCCATCGACCGACCATCATCATCTTTGTCTTAAGCAAATAGAAAATTGGGGGCTATTCGTCATCTTCTCCCCGCCACATCGCTGTTACATCTCCCTGCCACATCCCATGTGTCTGATAACATCGACAACTTCTGCTTCTTCTCCTTTCCTCTCCTGGATCAAGGCTATTGCATGCAAAGATCGGACCTTTGTCATTAGAAGATCTAAGCGATTGACTCGAGGTTTGATTTCTCCCATCAATTTGATTTCTCTCGGTCTCAGATCAAGACAATTTCAGGTAATTGCACGCAATTGGAGGATATTGCATGCAAGACCGAGTCACCACTTAGGGTGGTGGTCGTGAGGTTTAAATGTCGCCTTCCATATCCCCATTGTCATCTCCTTGGTCGTACAAGGGAAATAGTTCAAATACGAGTTCTTTTTCCTTCTTATTCTTGTTGTTCGTTGAGTCTTCTCTCTTTTCAGGCTTTCAATTTTAATCCTAACAATAATTTAACCGACAACCGACCGATTACCAACCATAATTGGGAGGAAACCAAAATTTTCTTATTTTATTTTGATTTTAGACTTGAATAACTTTGGGGATGTGTTAGCTCCTCTCTTGATACTGGTCAGTGGTCCCAACTCCAGTCCGACTCTTCACTTTCCATGTTTAATAACTTCGTTCCACCCTTATATTTCCTCCATTGACGATATTGGTGTGCTTAAGTGTGGAGGTGTTGAATGTGTATGTTGATGGCGTGTGAATATGGATGAATAAATTTGGTCTTGGAGCCTTGATTATTGCCCAAAATATGAGTGGCCCAAGCACTTGTGGATGAATTATTGTCTTTTGGCCTACATTAATAGTGTTTTGGAACCTAGATTATATGCCCAATTTTCAAATTTGAGGGTTCCAAACACCTGTCCCATGCATTGTTCCTACTCATTATGATTTGAATTGTTGGATGTTATGATGTTGTGCATTTTAGGGAGGATAGTGTAGCGCTATGAAGGATGTGGGTACATGAGAAATCTACCATCCACTTCCTCTTTTGTTGGTTGATACTATTGACTAGTGATGATTAAGACATATGTGTTGGACTCTACCATTTTCGGACTCAAAACAGATTTTGCAAAAGGTGCTCAATTTTTTAATGTGATTTGAATGAAAAAGAGTGTCTCGCTCCTGATCCCGCTCTCGGTCCATGCTCAGGTTACCTTTACACAAAGCATTTCCCAAAGCGCACTCCTATCCCTAGGCTCGATCTATGGCGATTTGCCTAAGTTAGTGATGGTTGCCACACATTTGAGATATACAAGAGCCGAAATCTCTCAATGAGCATAAGAAACAGTCTCTTTTCTATCCAGTCCCTTGAAGAGGAGAGGTGTAAGGGAGGATGGAGAGTTTTAGGTGAAGGTTTGGAAACAATATCGTTGTCTCCCTTACACATCCTCAAAGCGCGAACTGATTTTAGGATGTTATAATATATTTTTTTGGGAGAAATACCACTTTTACCCTTTGCTTTTATCAATGTAAAAAAGCAACACATAAAAAGTTAGGGCTTTGGTTGGAAAAAAGGTACATATAATATATTAGCCACAACTATTAAGAAACAACACATATAAAAAGTTAGAGCTCTGGTTGGAAAAAAGGGTAAATACAATATATTAGCCACAACTATTAAGAAACGGAAAATTATAGCCATAACTATTAATATACACATTATTAGCTAAATATTAAGTTTCTGTTAGCAATTTCATTAGTAATGCTGACTAAAATTTTACGACGCTGAGCTGGCTCCTACATGGAGTTCGTATATCATATTTTAATTTTAATTTAAAAAATAAAATATTAAATAATTAGAAAAATGAAAGACAAAAAATCTAAAAAAGAACTAAAAGAAATCTGCCTCTTCTTCTTCCTACGCTCTCTCCTCCACTGCGCTCTCTCATCCTCTCCGATTAGCTCTAAAGAGCTTCCTCCGAGCAACTCAAACAACAATTGATACCTCCCCATGGAACGGTCGTCTTCCCTTCCAAACTCACAAACCCTACTCTTTTGCAATCACCAATCAGACTTCAGATATATCTCGCAGGTCGTCATAATCCAGCCCTAGAAATTAGAAACCGACGATCTAGGGCGAAAGTTGGTTGGCGGGGAAACGAAGAAAAACACCTACCATTTCAAGCAATCGAATCAACAAAAGGCTTTGACAATAAATTAGGCTTTGGCGGTAAGGGGACGATTTGATGGTTGAGAATTGAGATGGTGGGAGAGAGAGAGAATCAAATGCGAGGCGTGAAGGAGAGAGGGGAGGATGGCGCTGATGCATTGGAGAGTCGGGGGAGCTGCGAGCAAACCCAAATCTGGGTTTCATTCCGCCACCGAAATCTGCATCTTCTCTTCTTCTTTCCTAATCCGCCCAAAAATCCCTAATTCTGGGTTTCATTCCGTCACCGAAATCAATCACTGCCCTCTGCTCAATGCTTCCCTCCATCTTATCGCCGCCGTCGGCTCCTCTCTGCCTCTGTCAGCGCCTTCGCTGCCGGCCCTCCATCTCACCACCTTCGCTCCTCCTCTCCGACTCTATCATAGCCTCTGCTGCCGATGGAGAGAAGATGAGGAAGAAGAGTTTGAGTAGAGGAGTTTGGGGTCGTCGAGTAGGTGGAGGAAGAAGTGGAAGGGGAGAAGAAGATGGGGAAAGCAGCGAAGAAGAACGACGGGAGGGAAGTGTGTGTGTGGGTGGGGGGGGTTAGATTTTCTATTTTTTAATAATAATTATTAATTAAATAAAATAATAATTTTATTTTAATATTTTATGATGTGGACACTAATATGAATGTTGACGTGGCAGTCTCCGTCATAAAATTTATACCAGTAACATACAGTTAGCCATTCCATGGTTCGCTACAATAGTTTTGGCTAATAGTTTGTATTTCGATAGTTGTGGTTATAATTTTTCGCTTCTAAATAGTTGTGTCTAATATATTGTATTCACAAAAAAGAATAATCAAACTCTCCCAACAATATCATATAAAACATGAGATTTAACCAATGATTGAAAACCATACCGATACCGAAAAACTTAGCTAAAGTGGTGAAACCATGATTTAGCTGTGGTTCAACCTTCTATATTGCTAAAAACTGTCTATCGACTTAGCTTCCGGTAGGATGCTTTTTCAGTCGAATTGTCGACCGTACACTTTCACAAATACTGAATTTAACTATCACTCATTTTTAAGTTATAGTTCCTGGCACATTAAGTAATCAATACTTGTGTTATTTATGCATAAAATAAAATAAAAATGCATTGTAGACAATTAAAATAGTATAACTATATATCACCAAAACAAAACCACCCAAAAATACAACATATTTGCAGAAATTCTTTTAAAATTCACAATATTTTGACTTTTGTAGTTCTTTCTCGTGTTGGGGAAGGAATTACAATTTTACAGAAAGCAATATTTTTTAACAAACAATAATTTTTTTCGATAACTAAAAGAAAAGGTTCTCTTTTATTTTTGGAGCGACCCGGAAAACAAACAAAAACAAAATTAGTCCCAGAGGCAAAAGAGGGGAAAAGAAGAGAAAGAAGGCAAGGAAGGACAGAACTACACACAATTCCCTCTCTCTCTCTCTCTCTCTCTCCCTCTCTCGCTCGCCGTCTGTCTTTCCCGTTTCCACCTCAATCCCGTCTCCATTCATTCTTATCGCCCGTGTCGCCAATCTCTAATCACCGGCGGAATTGTCATCCGATTCTCTTCTCTTACTCAAGCTTCTGTCTTCATTCTCCTCCGCCCAGTTGCCTGATTGCCAGGTTTAATACGCTTTTCTTCATCCTTTCGGCTGTTTGGGGGAAATCATTCCGCGCGCTGTCTCGTTGCAGCGAGGGAAGACTTCTAGGCTCTAGCGGCGAATTGGGAAAATTTTTCCAGTTGGGAAGTTCACAAAATCGCCGGAAGTGAAATGATGTGAATGAATGAAAAGGGATTATGGGATTAGAATCCGCAGGTGCCGTCCACCATTCCTCCTTTGCGGCTTCTGCTCCAAAATTCGCTGCTGCTGCTACTACTACTACGTCGTCTGGGCGCCCTTCTTCTACTGCTACTACTTGTCTCTCTTCTTCCAATCGGTGATTGATCGCTTCAGTTGCGGTTGGGAGATTAATGCTTTGAACTGAATGGGGACAGGAGGCCTTTGATTGATAAGTTTGGTGGTTTTGGGGGGTTTTTGTTTTGTTCTTGTCGTTGGTCAATGGATGGGGTCAAGGGAGTTACTGGCGAGCCTCAAGTGCGGGAAGGTATTTCGACGCCATGGCAGCCGAGGCAGCTGGCTTTCAAGCTATATCAAGCTGCTCACCGGTTGCAAACTGAGCGCGTTGTTGTAAAGAGACCTGTAAGTGCTTCTCTGCCCTCTTTCTGGTCTGGAGTCTGTTCGTTTGCGTACTGGCTCGCATTGTCTACCTGACATCGCAGGAGCTGTGAGCTAGCTCGAAATGATAGCTCAATTTCTCTTGAAATCACTGGAAGGAAATGTTTATATATTTGCAACGAATGTGCAGGCAGACGGTATCCTTTCACCTAACGAATGCATTCTCTGCACCATAGACAAACATTCAATTTCCCTAACGAAAAAAGACGTTCTTGATAGTTATTTTCTCCTAGGAATCGACATCTGTTTGAAGCATAAAGCAGGAGTTATGTGGGTGGATTAGTGTATAACAAGATAGGAAGCATCATGCATTCTATTGCTATATTGCCAACACCTTGCAGTACATATTGCTAATCTTCAGATTGTTTAGGAATCACCTTTTCATTATGGATGTCAGCCATCAAACACTAAAACTTATAGGTCTCTTCTCTTTATACCTGGAGCTATAATGTTGGTGCTTTTGCACTTACTTGTAGGATTGATTGCTTTTGGGTTAAGGTTCACCTAGGTTCTGTTATATACTGTATTTTTAGTCTGATAAGCAACTTGTTTTTAACCCTGTCATAGTGCAGTGAGTCGCATAATGCAAGTATCATTAGAAGCTAGTTGATACATTTGTTGAAACAAGAACTGGTCAGTTAACCTTTTCTCTAGTAATTCCCTTTGGTAGAAGCTATATGCTTATCGTTGCTACATGTTACAAGCTAAAGTTTCTTTATTTTCGTCCGTTTAATGGTATGCCATAGTGAGGACTGAGGCATTAACACTTCAATGAATTGGTGCCTCCTCAGTTCTTCTTCTTTTGTTCTTATAGATGCATTCTGGGTGACTGGGCTGTTACATAATAGATGTCTGGATTAGGGATTTTGTAATTCAAAGACGTAAGCTTTCTCTGTTCTTGGTAATATGTGTCCACATTATTGACATAAGAGAGTGCCTGTTATGCAGATTTCCCAGGGTAGCTAGTTCTTTTAATCATTAGGTTAGTGAATTATATGAATTGTTCTTGATCTCCCATAGGCATATTCATCTCTGACATTTTCAGATGTCTGGTGTCATCTCCCATGTATGCAGTCTAGTCTTCTCATAATCATTCAACTGCTTTAAGTGTTTTGAGTTAATATTTTGAATGGCCATATGGTGGTCTATGAGAATGTGTCATAAGATGTGCATAACTTATATTGCTAATTGCTGCTGGATTATATACCTACTTTAGGTGAAGGTGGCATTAGCCTGCAGTTCCTTGTTCTGGTTTCAAACTTTTTGTCTTTATGTAAGTTTAATTGTCTTGTTACCTTAAACAAAACAAGGGGAGTCTGTTATGATAATTGGTATTTCTATTATGTCAACGGGAGATTCAATTTACTAGAGTCTAGTCATTATGCTAATTGATGACTTCTAATATGCAGTTGGTGGCAAGATTGACCAAAGACATAGTTGAAACTTATAAAAAGTGCAATCCCCAATTTAAATATTCAGAAGACTTAAATCCCAAGAGATACCTGACCAGTCCATCAATTGGAGTTCTCAATGATGGCCATGATAATCTAAACTCGGATCTTATTTTGAGCGTGAATTGCCCCTTGATCAACCTCGAGACGCAAAGAAGGTTTGTTCATACTTTTTTTCTTCACCCCTTCTCACTCTGTATCCAACCAGTATAGCAAATTTCATTGTAAAACTTTATATATATATCTGATATATATCTGAAATTTTACAATAGTAGCTGAATTCTTGATGATGTTGGATGATCTATGATAATATGTAATTTTCTTAACCAATATTCAGCCTCAATATAGGAATAAGTTTATCTATGGATAACTTAACTTTGAAGTTGGTTGAAGTAATTGGCCGTGAGATGTCTTCAAAATTCTTTCACTCCCTTGTCTGTTTTATTTATTTATTTGCATTCCCTTTCCCACTCAATTCATGTGTTTTTGCCTTGGTAAATTCGCCACTCTGGCTTTTGTGTGGTTTCTACTGAAGCCATGAGCTTTTTAAGACAATAGGTGCAAAAATTAATGTCCAGCACCTTGTGGTTCAATTTCCTTTTAGAATCTGTTTGTATCCTGAAACACCTGTTTGCCTGTGGACATTAGTAGTTTAATTAAACATCTCTGTGAGTTTGTTTACTACACCTGATATCTGTGTTAACTTGATCTTTTATCAAAGTTTGATAAGTTCAAGGAAGTGCGATGCCTGTATGAACGATTATAATTTAATTTCTTTCACTTTAATGGTTTGGTCAATACTCTGACATCTGCAGATACGTTGTCAAAGATGTCCTTGGCCAAGGAACTTTTGGCCAGGTTGCTAAATGCTGGGTTGCGGAAACTAGCAGTTTTGTTGCAGTAAAGATAATTAAAAACCAACCAGCTTATTATCAACAAGCACTTGTTGAAGTATCTATTTTGACAACGGTAATTATGAAGCTGTTTTAAATGTCGTCTCATCCCTGTTTGCAGTCTGATACTGATGCTCTTCTCGGTTCATTTTCAGCTAAACAAGAAGTATGATCCTGAAGATAAGCATCATATTGTCCGTATCTATGATTACTTTGTCCATCACCGGCACCTTTGCATTTGCTTTGAATTGCTCGACACAAACTTGTAAGCTGGCCTAAAAAACTCACTAATTAGTTTGTGATGTGTTACTTGATCTATTGGCTAATATTCTCGACGTTAATCTCTTTTCTCTTGTTTATTTTTGCTTTGTATATTGTATTCTGACCATTTGGTGCTACCAGGTATGAGCTTATTAAGATAAATCAATTTAGGGGGCTATCTTTGAGCATTGTTCAATTATTTTCCAAACAGGTAAAGCATATGCCTGCTTTTCATTATTTGAAAAAATCTCCATTGTGTTTCACTTGCTTTTGTTTGCTTGTCTTTTAACCTTTTTTTACTTTCAACAGATCTTACGTGGATTGGCCTTGTTGAAAGATGCTGGTATAATCCATTGTGATCTGAAACCAGAAAATGTTCTTTTGTGCACAAGGTAGTTGTCCTGAAAGAATGAGGTTTTTTTGCCGAATGACTGGCATTTCGTCATTTCCATTTGACGTTTTTTCTGTCCTTGGAAAAACAGTTTGAAGCCAGCAGAAGTTAAGATAATTGACTTTGGATCAGCCTGCATGGAGGATCGTACAGTCTACTCTTACATCCAGGTTCACTTATATATTTGTTTAATTAGTTGATTTATTTATTTTATCATAGCCCTTTTGTTTGGAATGACTTGCATTTTTCTGTTTGATTGCAGAGTCGTTATTACAGGTCTCCTGAAGTTCTTCTAGGATATCAGTATCCTTCCAAATGAAATGTAGGTTTCGTGGATGTTTTGTTTTTAGGTTTTCTTTACTTCTTTTGTTGAATGCCCACGAAGTATTAATATATGATAAAACAAGGTGACGGCTCAAGAGAATCAGAGGATCTCAGTTAAGAGATATAGGGAACTGGACAATATTCAAGTTTAAAGTTTAGCACTTGGTAGAAAGCTATTGTATGGGCATTTTCATTGTGCACAACTTTGTTTTATTTATGAAAGAGTGCAAGGAATTAATGGACATTTCAAACATGAAGCATCTAAGTGGTTGCATTAAAAGAGTTGCATTTCTGGTGCCACTTTGTCCTGTGTTGACTGTAAAGGAGCAAGATTATAATACTGTGTTCCATTCTGTCAGTTGCACATTACTAAAATGTTAAACTTGATGCTATTTTCTTGGTCAGTTAGTTGTCAATTGGATGCATTTGAAATTCTCGTCTGTGGTTGATCTTCTTGTCACAAAATTATGAGTTATGACTTGACCTTAGCCATTTCAAGATATACTACGGCAATCGATATGTGGTCTTTCGGATGCATTGTTGCAGAGTTGTTTCTAGGGTTGCCTCTCTTTCCTGGGGCCTCAGAGTTTGATTTGTTAAGGCGAATGATTGAAATACTTGGGTAAGTCCGTTATTCTTTCACCCCAAATTGTTAGTTCATTATGTTCTATGATCTGTTAAATTTCGAGGTAATTAGTATATACCCCGTGCTTCACTTCAATGAAGGAGTCTATTAGTTGAATTCATAAAACTTGGTTTTATGTCTTTTGTATTTGTTATTACACTTCTCTACTGGGCATATCAAGCTCTAAAGCAGTTCCTCTTCAGTTTCGATTTCACCACATCCTAAAGTTTAGGATCTAAACAGTTCAATTCGAATAATTTGTAGAGTACATCCTTTCCATCTTTTACTTTCACCATCTACCAATACTGAAAATAAAGAAAGTACTTTTACTTTAATTCAATTAGTAAAATGCTGAACCTAGACCTACCGCTAAAAGTAGCTGTGTGACCTAACAAAAAGCAAGGTAGGATTTCACTGTCCATGCGGTTTAGACGTTGCCCAGTATACTGTTCCAAGTGAAGCTGACTATTTCTTACACTGTTCTCGTTCTCAATATTCCGTGGTTTCTTCTGTTTTATCGCCCATACTCTATTAAAGGATACTGGTTGATTGATTCTTGGACTTTGTCATTGTTGGCTGAAATGTTGTAGAGGACAACCTCCTGATTATGTGCTGAAGGAGGCAAAGAACACCGGCAAATTCTTCAAATGCATTGGCAGCATTTGCAACTTAGAGGATGTTGAGGCCTCATTGGGTGGCAGAACCGCGTATCAAGCACTAACTATAGAAGAATATGAAGCTGTAAGTGCCTCATCTGTTTCTTGAAGTAGGTGGAAACCATTAAGTATTTGATAACTGGAGAGCATTGATGCATGAGTGTGCTCTCTCCTATGTCACCTGTGCTGTTCCTTATGTCAGTGATTACTTCTTCTGTTCAGAGAGAATTGAAGAAGCCATCTATGGGGAAGGAGTATTTCAATCGTATGAACCTTGAGGCTATTGTGACAAACTATCCCTACCGGAAGAACTTGGCACAAGAAGATGTTATGAAAGGTGTATTTCCCTGTCCAAAGAATATCTACATAATGACTCATTTTATATGTCTTAATCTGTGTTGAAGACGGGTCTGATGACACTTAACTATGTACAACAGAAAGTCAAATACGATTAGCTCTGATTGATTTCTTGAAGGGACTTGTTGAGTTTGATCCTGCGAAAAGGTGGTCGCCTATTCAGGTATTCAAGTTGCCATTCAGATATTTATTAAATACTTGCAGAGTTGAACTCTCTGGTTGTTCTAATATGAATTTGTAACCAGTTCCTAGGAATAGTTTTAACCCAAATAGTCATTCTGCAGGCTTCGAAGCATCCTTTTGTTACAGGGGAACCATTTACATGCCCTTATAGGCCTCCTCCTGAGACTCCTCGCATGGTAGGTTCTTCATTGCATGTATGCTTTACCAACTTTATATACTATTACAACACACTGGTTGTTCCTCTCAAGGAAGTGAGCTAGTTGTCCCTGTATATATTGTCTATATAGTTGTCCCTTTTTTGTTGAAGTGAGGCTCAACCTTGTTCTATTTTATGGACATTTGTGCTGACCTATCTGTACGTATCCCTTCCTCTTGCATCAATGTGTTTTTCAGCCTGTCGCTCAAACTATTAAGGTGGACCATCATCCTGGAGGTGGGCATTGGTTTGCTGCTGGTCTATCTCCTAATGTAAGCTGCTCTCTTTCGTCATGATATTATGGAGTACTTGAAAAGAGGAGGGAAAACAAAAGCTGCTTCTTCTTCCAAATCAGCAGAAAATCTACTAAAGCTGTGACTTGAGTAATAACTAAAACATCGATACTTTTATTTCAGGTTCAAGGCAAGATGAGGAATTCCATGCATGGCAGCCCACATTTTCCGATGGTCCCGTATTCACATGCAAGTAGCTATGGCAGTGTAGGAAGCCATGGCAGCTATAATGATGGCTTGGGCCTTGGAAGTAGCTATGGAAGTTATGGAGATAGCAACAATATGTTTGCATATTATTCACCAGTTAATCATTCTGGAATAAACATGCATGCACAGCATGGTCAGTCTATGCTTGGTGGTAGTCCTGATGCAAGGCGGAGATTTGTCCAATATTCACATGGGAATGGGCTTGGTGTAAGCCCCTCAGCAGGGAATTTTGCACCTTTTCCACTTGGTGCAAGCCCCTCACAGTTCACTCCTCCAGCCTCCTACAATCAGGCTTCAGGTGGTTCTCCTGGACATTATGGCCCACCTTCTCCTGTAAGGAACAGTTGCCATGGATCGCCCTTGAGTAAAATGACAGCAGCTACACAGTTCAATCGGAGAAAAAATTGGGGTTATTCTGGAAGCACTCAGTCCCAAGAGAGTTCAGCTTCACATTGGAAGGGACAACATTTTGAGAATCCCAGCTCTATCCAAGTTGAGGGAATTGCCTCGGCCCCTGGTAGTCAACCGTCACACCAGCGGCCAAAGTCTGGTACTGCAAGCTGGACGCAGCAACAAGGGGGCAGTTTTGTCCCAGGTCAATCTTCAGTTCAAAATGTGTCAGGCTCGTCGAGATCTGTTACTAACATTCCATTGTCACAAAGCACTGGATTAGATCATGACAAGCCTGAGGATAACCTGTCATTGCCAGATCCCGGGGATTGGGATCCAAATTACAGGTGAGATGGTCCATGCATTTTCTGTTTCACTTGAGAAACATGTCACAAGAACATCAAGTGTATTTGTTTATGCTTTTCTGGGAAAAAGCTGACTACAAGTTTAAGAGCAGATTACTCGCCTCATGCTTGCTTTGTGTTGTACTTAGTAACTATAGGAAGAAAATTGGAATTAGCAAGTTCGTTTTGTTTTCCCTACAGCTAGGAGAATCCCAAACAAAGACACCCGTTACAGGAGAAATAGTGAGCTGGCTGACTATCTAATCTTTACTTGGAAGTTGGAACCACGTTTCACTGTCGTTATTGGTCTCTAATAAGATACAGGACCTGACCACATTGAAATTAGCAGTGGCTTTGATTGTTATTACTTTTGCAAGAGGTATGTGATGTTTTGTTCACTTGATGATTGCTTACTATGCATACTACACTGTTTAGTTCGAGTTAGGATCAATATACTTTGTTAGAGAAACTAAATTTTTCTATCGCACAGCTCTTTGGCTATATGCCTCAGTGCAACTTATTGCGTAGCAATTCGCTTCATATATTTGGGAGCGCCAGGGGATCAATGTTCATAATTTCTCTTGTCATCAAACTTTTTTTTTTTGGTTTTATCTATCCTGAAATAGCGAGCGGTGCTTTTGCTGTCATACCTTGGGATGCATCATAGTGTCACCATTTTCACTCTACTAATTGCATCTCGTGCATGTTTCAGTGATGAACTTCTTCTGCAAGAGGATAATTCTGATGTCGGCTCCCTAAGTACTGAATTCAGCAAAGGTGTCAATCTTAGTTCTGGCAATCAGCCAGGTACTCTAAGAAGATCCAACCATCAATCAAACCCGAGCTCTTATTCCTTAGTTCAAAGGTATGGTCTCGATAAGTTCATCTTACACTTTGTTTTATCGTGTTTTGTGATTGATGAAACCAACACAAGCAGCGCGGCAGCTTGAGTGGATAAGTATATAAAGTCATAACATTATTGACTGATAATTGGAATCTTTTTTTCTGTTCGCAACTGGATCTCCTGGCAATTATTGATTGGCATTACTTTCATATTAGAGTGTTGCTTGCAATTTTAATCCTGTCTTGTTACCTATATCTTGTATCAGACAAAATGGTTTTGTGCAATCATTTTCACATGTCAACGTGGGAAGCCCTCCTTCAGCACACGAACTGCATGCTGGTAGCTATGGCCGTTCAATGTCAAAGCCATCCCATTTCACACCCCATCTTCCTCAGAACTCTCCAAGCCGACTAGGACAGCAAGCCAGTCATCGTGGTACTCATGGGAGACCTGCTTATGGTGGGGAGTGGAATCACAAAGTTCAGCCCCCACAGTCTAGCTTTAGTTCTGGGGGCCCACTTTCGCCTGGAAGTAGTTCATACAACAATGGGATTCCCTGGGGTATGTGTCAGACTCGCTTTGAAATCTTAATTGTCACTTTATTCAAGCAATCTGGTTTAGGCTAGAGCATAGTGTAGGGTGGTATGACCCAATTCTGAAGCAGGTGCTGTTTTACGATTGTTTTGTAGGGCGTAGGGCTAATTATCCAGGACCAAGCATTCCTCCAGCATCTAGAGGAAGAAAAGATCATGGAAGAATTGTGTAATTTTTGGTTATCAGCTTGATTCTTTTGCTGCAAGGGAACACAGTGTATTAGAGTGTTGGAAAAGGAAGAGTTTTACTCAGTAGTCCACATGCTTTGTGGACTGATGCTTAGGGAAATCCTCATCCTCACTCATTCCGCTTGCATAAATATAAGCTGTGGTGTCTATCTTTTTATTTCTCCTTTGGCTTGACTTACACATGTGCAATCAGATATCAAATTTCTTTACTGCTTCTTGGTCATTCTTTCTTATGTGTCGATACCTCGTAATGTGGATCATGAATTTCTTTACGCAATGTGCATTTTTTGAGCTTCAGTTGGATCTAACGGGGTAATTGAAGTGATTGCAGTAGCTGCAGGGCAGTAATTTCAGCCGGCCACCTCGTAGAAGAAGTGATAACTGAAGCTTCCTGTCAAATGATAACAGCTTGCCTGCCAGGTTTTGTTACATGAAGTGTGTAAGCTAGTTGGTTTTCTTTGTATGATTCTATTGTCAATAAACTATGTTTTTTTCTACCATAAACAAAAAAACTATGTTTTTGCTGCATCAAGTTTGTTGTACCCGTTGCCAAGTTTTCATGAGTTTGGGTTTGCATAGTAGACCAGTGATATGGCTTTCATAACTGGAAAAATGTCTGGGTTGAATAGTACGTCTCTGTCCTTTTTGTGCGGTGTAAAAAAGTCAGTTAGCCTCCTAAATTAGTTCTATGAGTTTCTGTTTGGTGTCTTGTCTTGAAGCATCAGATGGTGGGTGCTATATTTCGTTCCAATTGTCGCATCCTTTCATGGAGCAATATATGTATGTGACGACCATTCGGTCCTCGGGTTAAGCATTGCTTTGCGTTTGGTTTCTGATTGATTCATCTTGTGGGTGTCTTTGTAAAGGGAAGTAGAGCTGCTGCTACTGTCAGCTTGCTAATTGATGTAATTCATTAGCTTGTTTTGTACTGCGAATGTCGATTTCTCTCAAGGGCGGAGAACTGAGATTAGTTGAAGTTGAGAATCACGATTTCTTCCTTTTGAAGAATTGCCATCAAAGTAGTAGAATCTTAATGCGTAAACAATTATAGCGTAGTAGCTACAAGTTTCATTTGTTGTTTAAAAATTAAGTGGGAAGCAAGATGCGTAAACAATTTTAGGGTTTAATAGCTGATGCGTGCGCTCAAATTGTGGTATTGTCTAATTAGGAGTGATGTGTGGTGGACAGTATCATTATTTGGTACAGATGTCGTTTGCTTTTGGTGGTGATACTTAAATGAATGCATTGTAATTACAAGTTTTGGTGATACTTAAACAACTGTATTGTGGTTAATATATGCATTGTAATATAAATGTAATCATGGTGATACTTAAATAACTGTATTGTGGTTAATATATGCATTGTAATATAAATGTAATCAAGGAAAAGTAAAATTATGTAATGTACTTTACATTGTTTGGTTTCGCTGATAGTTCTTTTAGTATTCAACATGTTATATTACTTTCTGTGAGAAATGTCACTTTTGCATTTGCTTTTATGAGAACATATATATATATATATATATATATATATGTAACTAGGGGTATACTTGGAACAAAAAAAGAACACAACAATCTCCTCAAAACTATCTCAACAATCTCAAGTTTTACTCAACAATCTCAAGTTTTAGTAGAGATAGTACTATCACTCATTTTGAGTGGTAGTTTCCATCACATCAAGCAAATAATGCATGTATTGTTTGTGCTGAAAATTCAAAAAAACAATGTATTGGGAACAATACATGCATTGTCACTATTCCAACCAAACTATCATCAAAACCAAACGACCTCTAATGAATGGAATTGATACTAACTATACATAACTTTGTGGTCAATAACTATGCATAATTCAAATAGGATTCGCCATATTTAGGGGTGGAAATCGGTATGGTATAGGTATTCCAATACCAAATACCGAAATCCCAAATATCGAATTACACCCTAGAATCAAAATCTCAATCCCAATCCCTAAATAATTTCGGTATCCCAATCCCGAAATATTTCGGTATCCCGATCGGTACTTCGGTATCCCAATCGGTATTATCAAATACGAACTTAATTATCTTTATAATTGATAATTAAATATATAAATTAGATTTGATTGTTTAATATAGAATAAAGAGACTAAACAAAGAGTTTTGAGTTTGGCTAGAGCTAGGATATGGATAAGGAGAATGAAGTAGAGGTGACATCTCAAGTTTTTCTCATTGATAATTTTTAATTTGACGAATTGGAGGTTGAGAGAAGACTAATACTAGTGTTTGTTTTTTGGTGTTATGAAAATAACAATAGATTGGTGGTTGAGGGTAGTGTATTAGTGAATGAGAGAGTCTAGTTGAGAGGATAAAATACTTACTAGCTTATATTTCGGTATTGTTCGGTATTTCGATATATACCGATCCCAATCCCGTAATCCCTAATACCGAATAACAATTGAAATTGAATCCCAATCCCAATCCCAAAAAATAATACATGTATTCGGTAATACCAAATATAGAAAAATTCGGTACGGTATTCGGTATATCCCAAATACCGGTACCAAACTTCCAGCCCTAGCCATATTAGTGTTCCTTCTCCCTCCTGTAAGTCTTTAATTTTTTCTTCTTTAATCTTTAACGTACGATTTCTCACTTGTTTTAAGTCAGAATTTAATTTTTTTTTTTGCACAGTTAGATCAGATTAATTGTACTATTTAAAATGATATCCACCTTGATATATTTTTTTAAAGAAAAAAATTGAGCAATTTTTTTACCATTATATACTATATGATATTGACTGGTATTAACTAAGAGCATACCATATGGTATGAAAGATACCACCCCGTACCAGGGTGGTATAGGATGGTATGAAGTTGGTAAGTAGAGGTATGAAATTTTTTCACCCATAAATTTTTTGATCCAATAGACCAAGGATTAAAGCGTTCATTATGTGCAAAATTTTCCAAAAATGACTTAAAAACGAAGGTGATACCATATAATATTTAGTTGGTAATGAGAGGTATGATTCGATTTTTATACCTTAATTCTATAGAGCACAACGAACTCGAACATCAACTTCTTGTGGTTGAGCTGGCGTTGTCGGTTAAACTAGTGCTGGAGGTACAATATGAAGGGGTGGTTAAAACACACTGTACAGCTCGAGGAGCTAACTTAGATCAATTGTGAGAAAGAGTAGAAGCATAATTGAGAGAGAGCTAAATACTTTAAAGTGAGAATATGAGGGTGGTTTGACATATAATTGTTCAAAAGGGGACTTATTGTGTAGTAACGGAGATGGTAATTGATTAATGATGTGAACAGAGTGAACAACATTGAAATTCCAATAAACACACGGTAAGTGTGACTGAAATAGAAGAGCTCTAGTCATTGCAAGCATATGTTGATGCTTACGTTCTACAATCCCATTTTTTCGGAAGTTCAACACATGTACGTTGGTGAAATATGCCATTTTCAGTATAGAAATTAGTATCTAGAAATTCCTGGCCATCCTCATGGATTTATTTTCTTATGGAATTGGATGAGAATTATTATATATAAACCTAAAGTACAGTTAGGAGCATATGCCATTCATTGGCTCTTTAATTGGGAAAATGGGTTGTTCATTAGGCTATACGGGTCATGAGTTTTTGGATTATTTGTCTAACCATTTGTATATAAATGTGCCATTTTTATACTTTATGATAATTGTCTTCAGATTTGTTTGGCAAAAAAAAAAAAAAAACAATTGTCTCTAGATTTGAACCATTTAAATTAGCTTTTTATTTTTATTTCCATGAGTAGGGAGCAGACACTAAAGTTAGAAAACTTAAAATGAATACAAATATAATATTTACTAAAATATCATTTAATTGCTTAAAATATAAGTATTAGTACATTGTATAGGTTTTTGATACGTATGCAATTTTGTATATCATTTTAACATAACAGTACTTTCAAAATTTTGACATTAATTATAAAATGTTAAAATCTATAATCTAAAGTGAATATAAATATTAAAATTATTATATTACCAATTAAATTCCCCAAAATTCGTGTATTAGACACTGTATAGGTTTTTAGTACGTGAAGTACTAAATCAATGATAAATGATACTGCTTTATATTATTGTAAGACTGGGACCGAGATTTTCAATCGGATATAATACGTATATGAGGATATTAAACGAATTTTTGCTACTTATATGCAAAAACATGTGACATCCACGTCCAGATGATCAGTACCAATAAAAGCACTTCGTTGGAAGAAAAAGTTAATTATTAGCATTGCCTATAAACCAAAAAAGGTATAAAAAAGCTCCATCCTTTTGAAACTTCTTATATTTTTAAATTTAAAAAATGTTGGTCCCAAATTATATTATATTTTCTTATATATTCTCTTACAAAATTAAGTATTAACAATCAACAGTAAATTATTGATGGAAAAACAACCTATCACCAAGGGTATCAAGCTGAATTTGAATAAACTTGGGCGGGAAACCAACCAAATATGTACTACAAATTTACAACTATGGTCTACGGTCACTCACTTCAACACTTCGGTCATCCATATCCCATCAAGTATTATAATTAACTCTTAAACCCAAAATCTTGCTCTTTTCCTCACTTTTTATAAATAAATTAAAAAAATTCAAAAGGGACATTGACATTTTAAGAAAAAAATAAGCATTATCTGATTGTTGGGCGCGAACCGCATATGAGTGAGTTTTGGTATGTTATGTTCCATTTCCGCCATCTTTTACTTATGAACATGCATGGTTTTGATTGTAAAACCGTAAGTTATAGGAAAATCGACCTCATCCAAACTAATTACAATTAATACTATAAATCAGAGGAGAATTAATACACACCCTTACTACTCTCAAATAGAGCCAGCAGGCTAAAGTTATAGACTCGAATCTTATCCGCAACAAAGCGCAGCATCAAATCTAGTAAAAGTATAAAAGGCATGCATAAGTCTTCATGATGAAAACCCATGTATGTCGACAGAAATCGTCAACTATTGTGAGAAATATCGATGAACAAATATAGAACTTACAGAGGCTGCCCCCCAAATATCTAAATGGACAAGATCAAAGCTAGCAGAAGAATGAAAGATCTTTATTCATATGGATAGAGGAGTCTACAAAATGTAATAGGGAAAGTTTATTATAGGGTATGTGTCCAAACCTATAATGTCATAGGTCAAAACTGAAAGTGGACATACAATGAGATGGTTGGGGTGTGAAAAATCTGTGTAAGTGAAAGTGTATCAGCTGGAGAATCCATTTGGTACAGGTCATTGGAGAGTTTAGCTTTTAGCAATAGTTCTCAAGGATTGGAGGTCATTAGGGATGGTAATCAGTTGGGTTGGGGTTTTCCAAACCCAAACACATGGGTATATCCACGCACAAACTCTAGGGTAAAGTCCATTGGGTTTCGAAAAATCAAAGCCAACTCAACTCGCTGGGTATCTGCGGGTTTTTGGATACCCATAGGTTTTGTGGTAAAAATGCACAATAACAACTTCCTGTTAATATAAAATTCTAACATCATTATTCTCATACAAATTATCCAAACAAAAAACACCAATCTAGATCGATCAAGCAAACCACAAAGTATCCATACAAATGCTTCAACATTAAAGATAAACATCCATAAACGACAAGATTAATTGAAAGCTTCTTCCTCCTTGTCAAATAAGCTTCTTCCTCCTCGTCAACTAAGTTTCTTCACTCTCCACTTCATAATATCAAATTCATTCTACACATTTAGAAAGAACAAATTAGACGCGTCTTCACAAACATAAGGAAGAATTGTTGCATAAGAAAGATATATTGCTTAAAATATTAAATATAGGCAACACATGAAACATAATCTGAATCTTGGTCATTATTAATGATGGAATAAGTCATGAGTCTATCAATTGTTTTCAAACCATCTGCAAATAGAATAGCAAGTGAAGTGAACAAATAATGATAGCCAAATGTGAATGGCCGAATGGGACATGAGAGGGTAAGTGGGTCGTGGTTGGGGACGAGTACGAGTTGCACATAGCTAAACCCGAATCCAACATAACCCGCAAAACAGTAAATGAGTTTAAACCCGAACCCAACCCATAATCCATTAATGCGGGGTTTATCCGTGTTCTTCAGATTGGGTCGGTTAGGGTACCCATGGATTCGGATTATGCTGGCATTCTGAGAGGTCATGTATGAAGCAATGAGAATCGACAAAAATCAGTCCTAAGAGGAGTCTTGTATTCTATCTTACTTACTGAAAAGAGAAGCTGTGAAAAAGCTATTCATCTAGTAACTGGAGAGTATTGGAATATTGAGAGTGTCCTATGTGGGTCACTAAGGCTTTATCTCCATTAGGGAGATGAACAAACATGTTTTTGGACCAACGCAGTTAACAGCTATCTCTTAATCTTAAAAGCTTAAGCTTTTAAGTTCTTAACCTCTCAAATATTGCTATTTTATATGAAGAATCCTTTGGCTGCATAAGCCTTGAAAAATCTTAAAATAAGCGTTAAAAGCTTGTGAACTTGTAAAAGAAGCTAGCTTAAGAAGCGCTTATTAAAGCTTATGGTGGCCATTATATTCAAGAGGTTCGAGTAGGTTAATGGTAGGACTAATTGGGTTTTTTAGGTTGCAAATAATAAAGCCATGCCAGCTACTACTTTTAAAATTTGGGATTTTTACTTTCCGGTAATTGTATTTTGCTTTTGGCCTTAGCCGACAAGTTCAACCCTACTCTCTTCTCTAGTCTCCTTGATTTCTCTTTGTTTCAAGGCTTTTCTTGGTTCTTTCCCCGTGAATTTGCTAAGGTTATTTCATAAACTCTTTACTGTTTTCATTGATTGAGGGTTACGTTAATTTGATATTTGAAGTAACGAAGATAAATAGATTGTCATGGCATGATTGCTTCTGAAGCAAGAAATTATTGATTTATTTTTAATTGTGTTAGGTGTTCACTTGTTTAATTGCAGTGCATCTTCGGCAGAAACAGCTAGCCAATATGTCAACGCCTAATATTGGTGCATCTTCCTCACAACGTAAACGTAAGAAGAAAAAAGCAGCTGGAACTCGTCATGATCCGGGGTGGGCGCATGGAATAGATGTTAATGGTGATAGGAAAACTGTGAGATGCAAGTTCTGTTCCAACTAGTCCAACCGTAATATCTATCGACTGAAACATCATCTTGCAGGAACAAGGAAGAATTGTGAGCCTTGTATTAGTGTCCCTGAAGAAGTTAGGAAACAAATGTTGGAGCTATTAAATGCAAATGTAGAAGCAAAAACACTCAAGAGGAAACAATTGCATGGTTGGGCTTTCAAATTAAGTTTCGAATTAGTGGATGCTATCAAACGCAATGGAGACGCGTTTTGCTTCAGCGGCTAATGAAACTCACGGCACGAACTATGCTTCTTAAGAAGCAAAACCCGCCATGAATAACAAGGTATGCTATATGTACACAGTAGGGTTCTGCCGAGTTCAGCAAGTACACAAGTAAACTTAGCAAAATTCAGTGGCATATTCAGCAGTGTTAAGTCACTGGAACAACTTACCTTCAGTTAAGTCGCCATCTTTTATGAAGTCAAAATTTGCCCGGGTGACTCTTCTCTCCCTAACAAAGGGTTCACCGTCCTAGGCTATTCCCTCTCATCTTTTTAGCTGTTGTTTCTCGACGAGAGGGAATTAGAGAGGTTGGGGAAGAGAAGATAAGAGAGGGGAAGAGTAAAAGAGAAGAGCCTATATGTGCCATCCATCAGACTCTTTCCCGCTAGGAAAGACACTGGGAACATGTTGCAGATAAGCATATTGGACAGAAGGCGACAAATGTTCTACCGTGTCATTGATGATGGTTATCTCAAGCTGACAAACACATATATCACCATCGTCTATCTATAAGTGCAGAAATGTCATATCTACATTTTCATCGCTAGGCCTAGAACAACTTCACTTTAGTCAGGTCACCCTAACACCAAAATCAAACTTTGCTTACACGTTTGGTAATCTTCTTCTTCTCTGAAAATTAGCAGCCAAGTTTCATAGAAGTCAGGAAATGCCCACCATTGGTCACTTATGTAGTTCTGTTGCATCCTAACATCAGTAGCATTTTGACACAAGGGGGAAAGCAGCTGCCCAGATGTTCCTTTCTACTGATGAACCGCAGCTCATGCGCCTCAACTTTCGCTTGCTCAGCCAGGAATCAACTTTCTCTCCAACAGATGAACCGTAGCTCATTGGACTCGACTTTCGCTTGCTCCTCTGCAACTACAAATGTTTAAGTAGACAAAACTTAGAAAGCTCCGAAACTGTGAAATAACTGCCAAGTGTAAAGATACACATGGATTACAACAGAAGCCTCAGTTGTCAACAGTCGAGGCACCACACAGCCCATAGGAATCCAAAACAGCAACAAAGAAGGAATACAAAAATGCATTTCCCCTACCAATGGAAAGAGTGTGAAACTTAAACGAGGTAACCCCTATGGCATCCCAGAGCTATTGTCAGAGGATGGGGGATAGTAGTGCACTTAGTACCTCAAGGGGTATGTTCATATTCTTTTTACTTAATAATCAAGAATTGCTGAAACAAAATCAGTTCTTTATCTGACACAATGCTACAGGTGCCCTGATTATGTGATTGCTACTGATACAACTGGAAATTTTATAAGATTGCTTGAGAAGACCATGTAAGAAACACCACAAAAGACAATCCAGTGTATAGGCAATTCGTATTTACTGGCACACAATATGAAGAAACATGCAGAATTTCAAGTCAAACCTACACCCATCAATATTATGTACTCTCGAAACAGCAACTCAACTAACATCCATCAACAATTTTTACTTGAAACCTTCAAGCCCATGTTGAATAAAACTTGAAACCCATGCTCAAAGCAGTGCAATGTCACTTATCTCACCTCCTCTTGAGATGTAGAAAGGGTGCTCCCAAGAAGTTCCTTATCGTCGCGAAATATACCTACTTCAGCAGCTGGTGACAAAACCTTTTGGCCATGGAAAACAGGGAACAAAGTAGGTTAGACCACCAACAGGACTCATCCCTGGAACTAGTTGCTACCAGTAGCCAAACCAGCTTACAATGATCAATCAACATAAAATTTCAACACAGGATCAAATCAGTTCAATATTTCTTATCTCACCCCTTTTCCTCCGGCAATGATGATCCTATCAATCTCAAGTACTCTCACTGTGGCAGCCAGTGGAGAAAACTTAACGCATGACCCAAGAAGACAGCAAGATAACTTGAAAGCCTGCATTGAATGCATTGCACAAAAGAAAGGAACCAAATCAGACACATAACCCCTAATTCTAGTAAACCCTAACCTCAAAGAAAATAAAGAAGACAGCAAGATATCCCATCTGCATCCCTCACCGCAACATGACCAAGACAACAAGATCTCTTGAAAGGCTGCATTGTACAAAAGGAAGAAACCAAATCAGATGATGAAACCCTAACTCTACTAAACCCAAACCTCCAAGAACAAGAAGATACCTGAACCCTAATGACGGGACTCCTCTTGGTGATCCTGGAGATGCTTCCGTAATCTGTAAGCCCACCCGCAATTATCGCAGCGCTCCTTATACTTGAAATGCGAATCATTGACGTGCGCTTTAAGGGCTCTGAGATTGTCGCCAGTAAAGGAACACACGTTGCAGGCCCTTGGTTGAGCTCGAGGGTTTGCTGCTGGTTGATTCTGCTCCTGCTCCTGCTCCTGACCATGACCCTGTTCGTTTTCCATTCCATGAACGATTGCTGGATTCCTCTCTCTTTCCGTTTCGTCGCGTTTCCCTTTCGCTCGTCAATCTGTCTCGCGCTCTCTTCCTTTTTCTGTAAGGATCTTGGGTCGAAGATATCTAGCTAGGGAAGACGAAGTGTTTGGAGAATTGGAATTTCAGAGAAAGCAGAGGAAAAACAGAGAATACAGATCAGAACTCAGAAGGATTTATTTCATCGTCGACTTCTCCCTTTTATACAGCTGACCAGGCTTATCATGGAATTACCCCAATACCCCTATTCAGTTATACAGGTTGTTACATTTTCTCCCTCTCTACTCTTTCTTCTTCGAGAGCACTCGAGAAGATTAACTTGAACGCTTTACGGAAATAAGTCCTTAACGGTGGAAGCATGTACGGAAATAAGTATAACGGGACCTGAACGTTTAATTATTTTTTTTGGTGGGAACCTGAACGTTTAATTTTTATTTTTTTTTTGGTGGGAACCTGAACGTTTAAATTTTTTTTTTAATTTAATTTAACGTAATACTGATAATAATAATAAAAGAAGAAAATGGAAAATGGGGGAATCACACGACTCACGTGTGTACCATCCCGTCCCGTCCCTATCTTTTCTATGTGTAATATTTTGTACAGATAACTCCGTTTTTTAATTAACTAGCTTTTAATCTGGCCGGAATTTCATTAATTTGCAATAAAAAAAATTGGTGAGAATTTTATTTTCTATTTATAGTTTAAATGACAGTTAAATAACCTATCAAAATGATTTTTAAGAGTATATTTTTAAAAAAAATAAACAAAACTGGAAAATTGTGCCAGTACCAGTCTCTCTCTCTTCTCTCTCTTTACGTTTTTTTCTCTTAAAACCTAATCCTGACGATGGCGGCAATCACTGACCATGCCGCAGCAGTCAGTGACGATCGCTCATGGGTGTCTTTGTCCGGAATTCCGGAGGATAATCTTCTTGACTATTACGAGCCGGAGTTTGTGAACGGCTCATTAATAATTCCAAGGGAGGTGATAGAAGAAGGTTCAAAGCGTTGGGAGAATAGTTTGGTTGGACAGTTTATCGATCGCCCGTAAAGGTGGCAATTGGATCGGATTTGTGGATTCGTGGATTGGATTGGTGGATCAATGGATCAAATGGATTGGATCCAATGGATTGGTGGATTTATGGATTGGATCCAATGGATTGGTGGATTTATGGATTGGATCAAATGGATTGGTGGATTGATCCATGAATCCAAATGACATCCAAGGCTTGGACCAAAATGTAAATTTTGAAAAGTTTAGGTACTAAAATGTCATGATAAAAAATTTTAGGTACCAAAATGTAAATTTCCAATGTTATTTTTCGTATAAAAATATAAATTTTAGGTACCAAAATGTAAAATATAAAAAATATAGGTACCAAATCATAATTTGTCATTTGGATCCATGGATTGATCCATGAATCCACCAATCCAATTGGATTTGGATCAAATGGATTGGATTTAAATGGATTGGATTAGGTGGATAATTTGGTGGATGGATTGGATTGGATTGGATTGGATTCATGGATTTGGATCCTAATTGCCACCTCTAATCGCCCGGCTTCAATTCTTCAATCAGGTATTGGGCGAATTGGTTATGGGGCAAGGCAGTTGAGGTCCGGGTCTCTAGGATGGGGCGGCGGCTTGTTCCTTTTCAATTTGCCAATGCTGATATCTGGCAGTGAGTGTTTGAAAATGGACTCTGACATCAAAGAGAGAATTTATTGTTTCTTCAAAAATGGGAGCCAGGGATCATTCGGCTGACGATTGATAACTCTGCGTTGCCTCTTTCGATTAAGTTTTCCAATCTGCCGACGGAGCTTACATCCAAAGAAGGACTAGGGAGAGTGGCTAGTTCGATGGGTCGGCTGCTATTTATGGATAAATCGACTACTCATGGCAGGAAAGTGGGTTTTGCGCAGATCTGTGTGGAGGTTAAGGCTGCTACTAAGAAGGTATTGAAATTGAGTGTCATCCAGATGGTTTACCAGAGCTATTCATTGATGTAGAATATTGTCATATGCCAAAGATCTGTGAGTAATGTTAGTGTTTTGGGCATAATTGTTCTCAGCATGCTAGGCTTTTGTCAAAGAGTTTGGGCAAAGAAGATACCAGTGATAGGTGAGGTTCTAGTAGACCAGGAGATCGGTCCCCAAGCTGCAGAAGAAGTGCAGGAGAGAGGCAAGTGGTTGTTGAAGAGGTCATCTCAGAAGTGGGGGTGAATCCTATGCCAAAGCCAGCTCCATTGGTATCAAAAACTCCTTCTCCCAAAGGTGGACTAGTTGATAATGTTTGTTGTACTTTGGTGGTAAATATGAAGGAGAGTGTGCATTGAATCTGGTTCAAGTAGCAGAGGCTCTCAGAGACAGACAATACTAGATGAAAATACATACCCTAGTCTGATGAGAAATAGAACATGAGTCAGAGCTATTGTAATCCCTCTTTCTTCACCTCCTAAAGGGAGAGGAAGAGGGAGAAAGTGGGATAAATGAAGCTGTTAAGTTGGAATGTCAGGGGGCTTCAATGCCCCTGATAAACACTCAATTGGTTTAGAGCAGTTGAGATTGAAGAAAATTGACATAGTAGGTCTGTTACAAGCTAGGGTGTAAGAAGAGAATATTAGGTCTATTTTTTCTGCCTGGCAACACTTTAGATAATTACTCCAAATCAAACTCTGGGAGAGTGAGGATACTCTGGAGGGCAGGATTGAAGGTTATTCGAGTTGAAGAAGGAGAACACGATATTAATAGAGGATAGTAGACCATTCATGGTGGTTTTTGTTTATAGTCCTAGCAAGGAGGTAGAGAGGCAATTGCTCTACCAGGATCTCTTGTTAAGAAATGACACTAGTATTCCAATGGTCTTTATGGGCCATTTTAATATCATTGCATAGGTAAATGAAGCATCAAACACACATATAGTGACGCAAAGTATGCATGATTCTAGAAGTTGGATAAGGGACATGGAGGTGATTGATCATAAAGTTGCAGGATCCTGGTTTACTTGGTGGAATAGGCAAAGGGCTAATCCTATAGCAAGAAGGCTTGATATAATGCTTGTGAATGAAGCATGGTTGGAGGTTTTCCCTGATAGTTCTGCTAATACTAACTCCCCAGGTGTTTCTGATCATTCTCGTTCAATCGATCTCTTTTCATCCACTCCTGTAATCCGATTGATTTCATAGTTGTGTTGTGTAGAGAGCCTCAATTCTTGAGTTGTAGTGAACCGATAACGATTAACAGTTAACAGTGAATCGATAACGATAACAATTAAATCGTTATATTTAAATATAAAGTTCTAAATATTTAGTTTTCTCGCTTTTGTAGGATACAGTTCGCGCTTTTCTAAAACAAATTCGTGCTCTAAAAATCTTAATTCCCGAATTCATAATGAATCTCTTAAGATTTGCGATTTTGTGTTATTGAGCTGGAGTGGCGGCCTCCATCCGGCGAATTATGTGACCTAACAGTACAACACTATACCAAGATAATATTTAAAAATATTCAACAATGGTACATAAACTAATCTCATTTCGTTATTTATAGCATTTTAGTATATAGGTACGTCCAATATATACTATAATGCCAGTACTCTTGATAAGATAACAAATAATTATTTTAAAGACAAGGAACAATAATGAAACTAAGATGTCTGCGTAAACTTAACATGACATGATACTAATTATGTATATGGATGGACAAAAAAATATTTTAAAATATAATAAAATTGATATCATTATGTAGATTATACAAAATTTGATTTATATGTGCAAAAATATATGAATTTGGAGTATGAAATGAAAGATTTACGGACCAATTGAAAGTAACAGGAAATTTAATAGAGAAGAAAGAGAATACGTCAAACATCTCACTCTGGTTCGATGGTTGAAAAATAAAAAATAGAACAAAAAAAGAAAGTTATTGAATTTTTAAAAAAATTAAGCATTAAAGTAAGCGATAACCTAGTGGCGAACCAATATAATTTTCTCCAATTTGATCAAGGTTCAAATTCCATAGACAACAAATATAAAATTGGCTTTTCATTATTAAAAAAAAAAAAGTAAGAAAGGCAATTACTATTATAACTCTATCTACAATTAAGAAGAAGACAGATAATTCAAAATGGTAGAAATCTCATTAAACTCTGCCATATATTATAGCAATTAAAAAGAAAAAAGAGAATTCAAAATGGTAGAAATCTCATTAAACTCTGCCATATATTATAGGAGGATTTGATTAAGGTTCAAATCCCACAGACAACAAATTTAACATTGGTTTTTCATTGAAAATGTAAGAATGTCAATTAACATTATAACCTTAGCTACAATTACTAAGTAAACAGAGAATTCAAAATGGTGAAAATCTCATCAAACTCTGTCTTATACTATAAGAGGATGGTTGTTATATTTTTATTATTATATTGGAGTTGATCACATTCATCAGTACATGTTATTGTAAGTGGTTAGCACGTTTCAATAACTACCCCATTCTAGGTCAAGTTTAACCTAAAATGGCGTTGCCATATAGTGGTAATCAAGGTTATATTCACTCGGGTCACGGTACCCTAGCCTACTTCCCACGTTGTCTTTATCTAGCCGATCGGTTTACGGGTTTGTGTTGGAGGATTTGAGCGAACTAACTAGTTAAGAGAGTAAATAAAGATAGAATCAGGTACTTCGGGGAACTGTCCTTCACCCTAGTCTAGGTCTACTATGCAATGTCTAGATAATTAGGGTTTGTCGAATGTGGTGAGTGAGCTCTTTTCCATGGGCTTTCATGGTTATCCACGCGCCTCCGAGTATGCTTCCCCTAAACCCATGTCAGCCACCTCGATCTAGGCTATCGTATCTGGGGGCATTAAGAACATAGCTTCTTTCAATAGGTACTACCCCCCTTCCACACAGAGATTTTATCCTGGGTTCTATCTAGGAAGGCATTCCTATGGCAGGGGTACGGTTGCCTCGTCCACCATAACATCATATTCATACATCTAACCTCAATTTGCTTGATGGAGCATACCCGCCTAACTCTAAAACTCCATACCCGTCGTAGTAGCTCAAGTAGGCTAGTAGAGAAGATTAGGGCAATTTACCCACACAATCAAAGCTAGGATAGCATTAAAATCAACTAGATAAACACATCGACTCATTAAAATCCTAAAATATCCATTCATTACATAGTAACCCTAAAACTAGGGTTTGTGGTTTAGAACCCATAGTACCTAATAGGACTACTCCATAAAGGAGAGAAGAAGATAAATAGAAGACTTGATGTTGAGGAAGA